GCACTGGTAATAGTAATTGACGCCGAAAGATAAAAGACACGCTTGACAGACGGTGATCTTTTGAAGACATATCAATATAAAATCCAGAAAAACACGAGGGGAACGTCCTCATACGGGGATCTAGTGATGACCGAGGACGGTCAGTATTATAGTGAGGGGGAGATGATACGGAGTGTAACAATACACCCGTAAAAATGCGAATTTTAGCGATTTCTCCTATAAAACCTCCTATAGTAGAAATACAGTCACATTGATCATAAGGATCGTTAGACGCAACCCGGTCTAGTCGATTAAAGTTTACATCCGAGAAATGTGCACGCCTTAGACAGTAGGAATTGCGGTCGGTTCGTGACCGAATCACCTCAATATACTCGAAGTCTAATAAAAGGCTACACTACCATGAAATAGTACGCTACCGAGTGTTCTAGAGTAAAAACACCCCCGCACAGGGTGTTGGAGTTTACACCAAACCAGGGTCTCACTTTATTATGGATTAAAAGATATTAATTCTAAAAGATAAACGCGCGAGCGTAGAAACTCGACGCATACCTGACGCGAGAAGTCATTCGGTCACGTGCTACGAAGCATGATCCAAGAAGTCATGTGGAGAGACGCATCACGCGCATCACGCGCATCACGCGCATCAACACATCACAAATCATGGCATCATTGACCCAAGAAAACTAAGCTTCGTGAAATATTCCGAAGCCTGCCAAAAGAGAAAAAACTATGAACGATTTGCCGTGTGGTCCGAGGCCCGGGCATAGTATCTAATAATAGAGAGAAAATCACTAAGCGGACCGTTCGTCTCGGCTGAACCGATCGTGAAAACCGTTTACGGCGATTCCCGTGTACGCATCAATACTGATGCGTCGCGTCGCCACAATAGAGAAAACACTACGAAAACTTAAAAGAAGTCAGCTCAGTTGTGCCACGCACAATCGAGCCACTTCAAACCTTTACTAAAAATTCAGTATTAATTCGTCCGACCTCTCGGACAAAGCACGGACATATAAATATAAATAGAAGACATAGAATAGTATAAAAAGAGGACGCGCGCAGGCTGAAACGCAAGGAATTATCCCCCGCGTTGACCAGCTGTCGCACTCCCAGTAGCATCTGAGGTAGTGGATAAGTTTGTAATCAATTTAAGGACTTTTCTTC